AGTTTTGAGTTTGGTTGAGATACAAGCCCAAACGAGAGATAACAGGCTTACCTTCATAGCCCGGCCCAATAAAATCTCTCAAGTTTCATCTGCCCTAGTTATATTAATGTCTTAAGTTCCATCTCCAGGCTCTCTCACACGGTCGCACATTGGCTCTATCGCACATCCCCAGGGCGTTTACCGGCTTCCTTTCACAAAATGGTGGATTTCGCTTTATTCATTCTTTTCCTTCTATGTTTACCTTATTATGATTCATACGTGTATTTCGTTGCAATCAAGTTTTAATTTTTGTTTGTACGAATATGCATATAATCATAGGGTCTCTCAAACGATCTAGATCTGCTGAACCCTTCTTTTGAAGATCAGAAAAGAAAGCACAAGCTCAAGCGTCTCGTACCGTCCCCGAACTCTTTCTTTATGGTATGTTCTATCTCTTACGCGAGTCATATTTTCTCAACTTCCTCTGTCATTGTTTAAAGGTGTTTTGTTGCTGTCATGAGATTTGATTTGTTTGTATTTGGTTTACGTTTTTCTTGTAGGACGTGAAGTGTCAAGGTTGCTTTAACATGTAAGTATTTTGTCAAATTTCCATGTTATGATTCGTATTTATGTGTTGGATTGGGTGTCCAGGAGGTTTTTTCGGTTGGATGCTGGCTTGCCCGTATTTTTTTCAAGTGTTAAACTTTGTGTACTGCTACAAGTATAGCAAAAAGAGATAAAGGTGAATGTCAATAACATGCTAACAACATGGTTCCAAGAAATTATAAAGAAACTCTCCCCAGTTCCATGAAACATCAAGTTTAACAAAATAATTTATAAAAACAAAAGTTCAAAACACCAAGGAGCAAGAGGATGATGATACAATCCCCAAAAGCCTAAATGATGCCTTAGTTCATCCTCCGGATAATTTCATTGATATAATCTTCCCTGTTTCCAGCATCTCCTCCTTCAACATAGTGGTTTCTCTTCTTATTGAGACCACCCAATGGAGCTTTGAGTTGCAACGGCCACAAGAAATTGTTGGCCTCCCTGAAATGTGGTCCAACAGTGATGATCTCGTGAACCAAATCTTCAATGCAGATTATGTTGTACTTGCCAAGAGCCTGTTCAATTACGGAATTGTCAGTGAAGGGAATTCTTTGCTCGCTAACCTTTCCAAATCCTCTCCTGTAAATCAACTCCCTGATGCTATTCAAGTTTAGGTACCCAAAAGCAACATATGGCTCGACCTTGTGCAACATGTTGGTTGTGGCTTTGTTAACCTTTATAAACACACAATTGAATATCTGTCTCAAACAGAGAAGCTGCAGAATCTTTTAGTGTTGGGGTGCATGGCATAAATACCACAGATACAAATGATGAATAGCAGTTTAGCTTCAGGGTTCACATAGAAGCCTCCTTTCAGCCTTGCCTCACGGTTCAACTGAACCAGCTCCTTTTGCTGCTTCTCATATTCTTCAGCATACAGGTTATCCCTCTTGAAGATTTCCTTCCTGTTTGCAGCGTTCTTCTTTCGGGTAGCTTGAATTTCTTGTTTCTTGATAAGTGCCCGCTCCTCTTCCCTTTTCTGCTTCTTCAATACTGATTCAGGGACGCATACTGCACTTTGCGCTTCAGCCATCTCGACCGTCTGGCTGATAGATGAGCTCATGAGCTGCAGAAAGAGAGATGGTAGATCGGATCAGCTTGCCCGTATATATTTTCAACCCTGTTATCATTTTTTGGAACTTCTTTAATTAACAAATTGTCTTTTTGTAATTCATCATTCTCTCAATGCTCTAGAAGAAAAAATCAACTTCGAAGAAATTAACTTTAAGTTTTTTTAATTACCTCCATCCCATGGGAATTAGGTAAGATATGAAAAGAGTAAAAATTCCCACGGGACTTTGCTAACATCGAATTAGTTAAGAAATAAGCAAGAGTAAAAACTATGTGTTCAAGTTTGTGTAGAAGAGAAACAATAATCAAGACCACAAATTAGTTACATTAATACCAAGTAGAAAAGTTTCAAAATTTGTTGGGATAAAAAACTTAACCTTTGATATCTTAACAATTTGAAGCACATCCGTAACTATGACAATAAGACATTTTGGTTTTTATCTTGTAATCATGTCGTTCATGATTTATTTTCAACGCAAAGGAGGTTTTTTTCGTTTTTGAAGACTTGTGGAACTAATGCCCAAATTTTTATATTCAATGATTGTGTTTTAAAATCAGACAATGATGTACTCTGTAATAGTATTTGTGGTGAATTTGTGCAGAACAACTGTGTTCAGCCATTCTCAGACTGTTGTTATGTGTGGGAACTGCCAGACAGTCCTATGCCAGCCAACGGGTGGACGTGCCAGACTCACTGAGGGCTGCTCTTTTAGGAGAAAGGGCGACTAGTAACCAAATCCATGATCTGATCTTGCTGCTTTGTTTGGCAAGGTTACTAGTGACTATACTATATCATTTTTGTTTGACGTTTGTTTTAAAATGTTATGTTAGGATTTTGATCTTGGATATTTAGTTTGCGTTTTTATTCCCAACTTTCGGGTTCATATTGTTTGGTAATTATGTTACGTGTTTGACAATCATGTTTTTGAATTAAGTAATCATTTTGTTGTTATGTGCTTCTATAATTTCAAGTCTTGCTCCATCGGCAGTGGTCACATTACTAAAAAATAACTGTTGTTTAAATTTGAAGTTCAAAACCCGCTGTAAGGGTTGTTGATGGTAGGATTGTTTTGACTGCTCAGTGGCTGAGCATTGTTGTATCCTAGTTCTGGACCCGGGCCGGTTCGGTTCCGGTCCGGTTCCGGGCCGGCTTGCGGGCTGTTTTTTGCAAATCCTTGGGCCCGGAACCGACCCGGGTTGATTCTGGTTCCGGGTGGGTTTCGGGCTGGGTCGGTTTAGTCCATCCCTATTGTATCCTGATCAAAAATAGTGTAAACAACCTTTACTCGTTGAATTACATTTCACCACTTCATAATCACAACAAAATAAACCTTAAGCAAATGCAAATCTTACACGGCGTTCTGTGACTTCTATAGTTCTATGTAGTCTGATGCTATGTGTGTGTGTATCTATTTTGGGATGTTTTTTCTTACTCCACGTCTTGGTGAACCAATTTGGGCTGTTTAGCCCATTACTTTGCATCATCGTGCAATTCTCTGTAAGTGTCCATATCAAAATACTTTCAACTTCTGGAGTTCTAGACTGGCAAGACAAAGTTACAACACTTTGGTATTGTTCTGTATTTTGGTATATGGTATCAATTTGTGTGGAGGATGCCCAAGTATGGTTTGTGTCCTTCATACACGTGATTGGATGTTTTTGTGCAGTGTTTTGCTTAGGAGTGGACTCGGGCCGGGTGAACCGGTTGGTTGCCCGGTTCGGGCCACTCGTGCCGGTGGGATGGCGGTTCGGGCTCGGGCCCTTTAAAAGGTGAATCGGCCCGGCCGGTTCGGGCTTGGGTCCTTTAGAAGGTGAACTGGCCGGTTCGGGCCTGGGCCTGGCCAATTTATTATTAATATTTTTTGAATTTTTTAAAGTTTTTGGATTGGGCTAGGTATTTTGGGCCATTTGAGGTGGTAAGGGTTGGTTTGGGGGTGAGGGGGAGGGTTGGGGGTTAACTAGGAAAAGCCAAAAAAAAAAAAAAAGAATCGAGGCCCGGCCCGGCTCGGACCTGGGGGTTACCCGGGCTGGTTCTGGGCCTCCCCTTCATGAACCGAGGCCCAGCCGGGCCCAGGCCTGAACCGGATCCGAACCGGAACCGGTCCATCTCTAGTTTTGCTGCTCTTCTTCCAAGTTCAAAGTATTAGTAATGTTTTATGGGAAAACCGTGGCTCTTTAAAAAATCATAGGTTGGATCAAGTATTCAAGGATTTAAGTTATATAGAATAGGTGATAGGTCATATAACTCAAATCGTTGCTCTTCAAACATATATATGACTTTATGCTCTTTTAAAAAATCATAGGTCACATATATATACTCCGTAATAGATAGTATTGAAAATAACCTTTTGTGTTAATACAAAATAACTCAAATTTAAGTTACTCTTTTGCCTTTGATTTCTTGTGAGTTTTTACTAATGTCAATTAGTTTGAAATATATTTTAAAATTTAGATCTAGTATGAAGTATGAACCTTCCATCCTTTTAAATTTACTCTTCATACCAGTTATGTTGAGTCTACTTCGTAACTACTTCGTATCCCCTACAAGGCTACAAGGCTCTTCTGAAACGGGCCAACTTGACCCAATCTGACCTGGCTCGTAATAGGCTATGCTTTATGTGGGTTGGGTCAAACCAACTAGCTTATTAACGGGCCAGAATTTCTAGTTTTCTACAACCCTAATCGAATCCACCTAATGCGTGGGTTAAAAGGGATGGCCCGCACGCCAATGTAAAAAGAATGTGATTTCAGATTTTTTTAAAATTAATTACCCTGTAGTTTATAATTATATAAGTAAGAGGTAATAAGGAAATATAAGAAATTAAAATACTAAGAGCCCGACAATTTTTTATGGAATAAGACACTTTAAATTGATATTACAACATTCAGAAAGAGAACAAGAAGATAAAACTAATAAAAGGATCACTTTCAACCGTTGACCTTGAACCAGACAGCCCAGACTTAGAGCCAATCACTTTGTAAAAAGCAATATGCCTTGTTGATCTTGTGATGGGTCTAAATCAGCCTAACACGATTAAAATAGACCCCTCATCGCCTAATCCTAATACAAGAGTCTGACAGAAATAAAGATAAAGGGAAAACTGTCAATTGCGCCCTCCTACTATGCGCGATCCGTCAATGGAGTCGCCGTCTTTTGGAAACCCTCAATTGAACCCGCCAACAATGAAAATCCCGTCAATTAGGTCTACATAACCGGATGCTTCCCGGTTAGCCCGTTGCTCGCTCATGTGGCGCTGACGTGGACATCGTACATTGAGGGTTCCATTGCTGGCATGGATTAAAAATATTCACATATACCTGATTCTTCACGCCAGTCACGACACCGTAAGTACGCCAGTCAAAATCGGCGGGGAGATTTCCGATTGGAAGGATTTCGGCTTTCTGTGCATCCGAGGGGAGCTTAAGCTTGTTGGACCGTCGTTTGCTGATCCCGAGGTACGTCCTGCGGAACTCCTTGGGAGTGAGATCCGAGAATTTTGTGATGCCGTGGACGGCGGTGGGATCTATCAGCTGGTGGCGCTGAGCGCGGAGCAAGTTAGCACTGAAGACGGAGAATCTGTAGTCGTGCTCCTCCTGGGTAGCGTAGCTTTTGGCGAACTTGGTCTTGAAGAGCGAAAAGTGATGATCGGCGTTGAGCAGGTCCTTGGCACCGGTAACAACCAGGCCGATTTATTTGGGAATGGAGATGTGAAATTTTTTAATCCATGTCAGCAATGGAACCCTCAATGTACGATGTCCACGTCAGCGCCACATGAGCGAGCAACGGGCTAACCGGGAAGCATCCGGTTATGTAGACCTAATTGACGGGATTTTCATTGTTGGCGGGTTCAATTGAGGGTTTCCAAAGTACGGGGACTCCATTGATAGATCGCGCATAGTAGGAGGGCGCAATTGACAATTTTCCCTAAAGATAAATGACAACAACAAAAACAACCCAATCAAAGCAAATTACAAAAAAAAGAAAACATAAAAGTGAAACTTCAGCTGCACCCTCACAATCCCGAAGATCTAAGCTTGTCCTTCCCTGATCTGGAGTGTCTTCAGGGCTCTCTGCGGGTCTAGAGACAAGACCTACCCCCTCTCCGTTTTTTGGTGGTCCAGTGCCTTGTTGTCCCCTCCACTATCCTCGTGCTGCTTTTCCTCCCACATCCTCCCGCGCTTCTGCTCTCCGGGATCCCCTCCGTAGTTGCTGCTTCATCCTCCTCAACTCTAGCCTTGCTGGCATCCGCCACAGTGAGTCCAGTGCTACCCTTCTGTCCCAACTCGTCCAGCTCTGTCATTATCATTACCGTAATGATTGTCCTGCTGAGTCAAGCCCCTCCCACCTAAAGAGTGTTCTAGGACCAACCATTTGTTGACCCCCGTTGTGTGAGATTCCCCTCCCACTCCAGCACGAAGACCAACCCCATAGGGTTTGATCAACACTTTGTTCTCACACTCATAAACCAGAGGACAAAATCTATCAGCATGACCAATGATACCACAAGCAAAACAAAAATTAGGAAGTTTTTCGTATTTAAATCCATCCAATGTCCTGTACCCCGCCCTTTCCTAAGAGTCGTACCCACTTTCAAAGCTTTCCCTACGTCCATACAAACTCTAATTCTCATGTAGGAATTCCATCTCTCTTCAAACTCACTTTCATCAAAACTGATAAATTTGCCAATAAAATTACCAACTCTTCTAGTATCACGCCCCGGACCTAGCCGGACACGTCAACAACCCGCCGTACAGTACGAATAGTCAACCGTAGTCCAACTCATCCATACTATACAAAGCGTCATGAATATCATTCACACATAGTACATCCATAAACAAACATAATGTAAAACATTCATTTAAAACAGCGGAAGCATTTATACAATTGTTCAAGCCACACTTGGCATAACTAGGCATACAAGCCCCCAAAGTAATTGTTCAAAAATAATGTCCATGAGCATTGTTATCATTATTTTGAAAACAGGAAACAGAAGAAGCACGAACCACGTCTTCTCCTTTGAATATCCCCGAAGCAACGGGCGCCGGTAGCAACCTTCAAGTTCTACCTGAAACTGTGAGGTGGCCTCCCCCGTGAAGGGGAGGTCAGTACTTGGAAATATTTGACAAGTACAATAGCAACTATACTAAGTATAATCAACGTTTTAATTTCCAAGACCCTCAAAATAGGGTGATATCATAATATAAATAGTAATTTATATTTCCCCCTTATTATCTTTATAATAAGTAGATTTATTTATTTGTCGGCACACGGCCCTTCTTATATATCCTTTTTCATTTATCATTTGCACAACCCAACCCTTGGGTCCTATTATTTCTACGGGACTTGCTACCGCTGTCCGAGACCTCATGAGGCTCCCGGTTCGGACTCCAACATCCCGCCCCTGGACTCGTACCCATCATCCCGTAGGAAGGTAAGGCCCTTCGGGGTCCTATCTTATGTGTTACCGCTACCGGAACCTAGTTAGGTCTCCGATTCGGATTCCACCCTAACCCGTGATCACGATGTAAGTCCATGCTATCCAACCCCGCTCTCTAGAGTCGGGAAGGGCCATGGTCCTTACTATTTTCCATAATTCAACCGGCTATCCACAAGGACTACCGAACACACCCGTAGGTCAATCCTATACTTAGGATCAATTTATTATTTACTTTATCTTGGGTATCCCTTAAGGCCTACCCCTAGTATAACTTAGAGTTCATACTTTCCTACCTTAAAGCATCTCTTAAGACTACTTAAGGCATAACATTTCACAATCCAACCTTAGGATCAATCTTAACAACATTTAATCTTAATGTCCAACTAGTATCTTAATACTAGTCAAATTAATATCAACAACCAAGTTTTCAACTCATAGTCATATAGACAATTCCAACTGATTTTCCTTTGAAAATATCATTTATCTCGATATCCAAAATATCACTTTTAATCACTCATATATTCTAATATGAAGAAAAAGTATATTTCACCACATGTTTCATAATAATTTCCACTTTCAAGTCAACATACTCATAACACATGAACATACACAATTTATTCCTAAATTTGTATATCATGCTCCTTTTTCTCTAGACATTTAGTCTTGTCATTTTTAGGCATTATTAATCATTAATAATCCATAAAAACACATTTAATTACCTTCGGTAATCTCATGAAACTAACTCACTAATTATAAGCAATATAGTAAGCCATCCTCACCTTATGAAGTGCTGAAATAGTTGCCTTTGCTAAGCCCCTCGATCAATCCCCGTTCTAGGCCGATTGAAGGTGTAAAACTGAGCTGCTGGGCAAAATCCGGGCGGCTTTCACGAAAGCCGGGCGGCTTTCGTGTTCTGCAGAAACGGGCAACTCCCTTAAAATGGCGGTTTCCGGCGATTTCGACTCCTATCGATTCACCAACTCTTCTAAGTTAAATATCACCACTTTATATCAATATTCTACACTTTTAAACGTGTAGAACATCATGTTTAATCCACCATATGATTTCTTAAAAATCATACACCATAAAACTAGTTAAAAGAACAATAGTTATGTTCTTACCTTAAACACCTTCCTTTTCTCCTTGGATTTCTTCTCCCCTTGCTTGAGCCTTGTGAGAACTTTCCTCCAGAGCTACTCTCCCTTTCTCTCTGCGTGAATGGCTCAAAATGGAGGGGATGTATCTACTCTCAATCAAAGATCAAGAATAGTACTAAGAGAGGACATGGGGTGTGGGTTTTTGTCTCCATGAGGCTTCCCATCTCCATCATCCGTCCCTACCATGTTATTTGGTCACTCAGCACTCCTAAAATCGTGGGGTGGCCCCCCCTCATGTGGGAGGTCATCCCATTATGTCCCGGTATGTACAATCGACCCCGAAAGTTGTATTTTTCGGACTATTTTAGTCATATTTTATTTTATCGGGCCAAATAAAATATATCCCGTGTTCCTAATAATTATGGGCCTTTAGAATAGATGTACATTCCCCAACATTAATTTAGGAGTCTCCGAAACTCATTTCGGGCTGTTATCCGTTAACTTACCAATACCGGTAATTGGGCCCCGTTTGACCAACCGGTCAACTCCATGCCTTTCTTATGGCCCAAATAAAATATCCACCACCATATACATATTATCTAGGCCAAGATGAATATAATATGTGGTTCGGGAATTATCGGGCGGTCCCCGTCCCGCTGTGGGCCCCACATGCAATTTACTATTCACGTAAAAGAAATAGTAAAAATTAACAATTACGCAAATTCGTAAATCATCTTTCAAGGTTTATTACATCATTTACTAAAAGTAAATATGCTCGGGGTCGGTGTTACAAGTTCACCCCCCCTTAACGGGAATTTCGTCCCCGAAATTCACAATGCTCATTCAAACAAAAACGTGTATTGCTCTTTCATCAAAGCTTCCGTCTCCCAAGTTTCCTCCTCAACTCGGTCACTTTCCCAAAGGATTTTAACCATTGGAACCTTTTTACTTCTCAATTTCTTGACTTGCCTGTCAAGTATCTTCACCGGTTGCACGGCATAATTCAAGTCTTCCCGTATTTCCACGGGTGGTTTTTCCAATACATGAGATGGATCCGGCATATACTTCTTAAGCATGGACACGTGGAATACGTTATGTATCTTCTCCAATTCTGGAGTCAACTGTAATCGGTATGCCACAGCCCCAATCCTCTCAAGAACCACGAATGACCCTATGTATCGTGGGTTAAGTTTCCCTCGGCTCTGAAATCGGATGATTCCTTTCCAAGGTGAAACCTTCAAAAATACCTCATCTCCCACCTTAAACTCCAAGGCTCTTCGGCGCTTATCGGCATAACTTTTCTGTCTATCCTGGGCCGCCTTAAGTCTCTCACGAATCATCTTCACCTTAGACTTGGTGATCTCCACCAATTCCGTGCTCTCGAGTTTGGCCATGCCAACCTCATCCCAACACAACGGTGTACGACATCTCCTCCCATACAATGCCTCGTATGGAGGCATGCCTATACTTGCCTGATAACTGTTGTTATAGGCAAACTCCACAAGTGATAAGTGGTTGTCCCAACTCCCTTGGAACTCCAATGCACAGGCTCTCAGCATATCCTCTAATATCTGTATAACCCGCTCAGATTGCCCATCCGTTTGTGGATGAAAAGCTGTACTGAATTCAACTTTGTCCCCATAGATTCTTGGAACTTCGGCCAAAATCGTGATGTGAATCGCGGATCTCTATCCGATACAATGGTTATAGGAACCCCATGTAGCCTCACAATCTCGTCCACATACAACTTGGCTAACCTCTCCAATGCATAGGTAGTGTTGATAGGTAGAAAGTGTGCACTCTTCGTGAGCCTATCGACCACAACTCATACGTCATCATAATTCTTAACCGTTCGTGGCAGCCCTACCACGAAATCCATAGTCACGTGTTCCCATTTCCATTCAGGAATGGAAAGTGGCTGTAGTAACCCAGCCGGATGCTGATGTTCTGCCTTAACTTGCTGACAAGTAAGACACCTACTGATGTACTCGGCTATTTCCCTCTTCATCCCCGACCATCAGTAACTTTCCTTTAAATCACGGTACATCTTCGTGCCTCCCGGGTGCATGGCATACGCCGATGAATGAGCCTCCTCTAAGATGGACTTTCGGAGCTCATCATCCAACGGTACACACACTCGGTCACGA